CAGGGATGAGGAAGGAGCCATGGGGACTTCTCTCTGTAGGTGAACCACTCTCCGAGCTTTACCACAGACTCCCGTCTCGACCGAGAGGTGAAGGATGCACTTCTCTGTGATGCCATGACCCTCATCAACCTCCGGGGCTGTGACAAAAGGAAAGTGATAGAGGAGGATAAACGGCGAGTCAAGGAGCGGCTTTTGCTGTGCCACCAACAGCCACGAGAAGCCAGGTGCACTCTGTGACTGACATGTGTTTAGTTGTGTAATTTGTCAACTTTGTTACTACTTTTTGGAGAGTAAATATCTTCTGGAAGAAGTCTACCAGGGCCTAATTATGAAAAATATCTTTTGCATAGATAATACATTTATATTTGCTTGGATAACACAATGCAACTCATAGATAATACATTCAAAATACAAAAGTTACAGCTGGGTGTGGTGGCACAAGCCTATAATCCCAGCACTTGGGAGGCTGAGACAGGAGGATCTATTTGAATTCAAGACCAGCCTGTGCTACATAGTGAGACCCTGTCTCAAAAATCAAAACAAAACAAAACACCTAAATACAAATGAGACAGTAGCTGGTCTTCTGCCCAGCTCCAGCTACCTAATTTTCCTCCCTGGAACTAATCAAAAGTCCTGTTGTAATGTATGTATTTTCACAATCATTTAAGCCACAAATATATATTTATAATGTTTTCCTCCCTTATCTACCCAGTTAGAAAACTCTACTCTTTACACCCTACACAGCTATGTTTTAAGCTGTTTTCCTATTAGCATATAGCATTATGCTAGATGAGCATTATGTACTTTGAGTAGCTGGTTTAACAGAGTTCCTCTAGATAGAAAAGTTGTTCATTCACAAGGGAATTATTTAAATCACTGTCAATCACTTGTTTTTCATTAAGAAATGGATTACAAACATTGTAGTTGGTTGTTGGCACTAAAATTAGGATTTATTAATGATACATAAAAGGAAGCTTGAGTAGGCCTTGGGCCATTCCTGTAATGATGCTGTTGTCTCCACTTGCATTCCAGTAAGTTAGGACAGTGCACATTTGACTCCTCAGACAGCCTTAGGGCCTGGCACACAGCAGGCACTCAAGTACTTGTTTGCAAAGGCGAACAGTAAACACCCCAAGTATTCCCACAGACTAGACTGTACATCTGAGTGAATCATGCCTTTCAGTAGGGAAAAATGGCTAGAAACTACTGAACTAAAAAAACCAATAAATTTGGTGTGGTGCATGCCTTTAATCAAGCACTCTGAGACTAAGGCAGTAAGATCACAAGTTTAGTGCTTCCTGGGTTCAATCCCAGGACTACACAAGGAAGGAAAGGAGGGAGAGAGAGGACCTAAATCAGATTTTCATGGTGCACACATGCTAGGGATGGGCAGACATGGGCTTGGCAACTTTCTCCACACGGGCAAGGAGGCCAAGAAACAATCAGGTTTCCCCACCTTAGCCAGCCTTCCTTCCCCTACTGAATATTCTCCCAGCCCTCTGACTCTGAGCTCACTTTCACAGGCGAGAACAGATAGAGTCATGCCATGCAGCCATGCTGGACCAGCAGAAATATGAGGATTCCCACTTAGGGGGATACCGGCGGATCTACCCAGGGCCTGACATGGAGAAGTATGCGCCTTTCTTCAAGCACAATGGCTCCCTCTTCCAAGAGACTGCTGCCTCCAAAGCCAGAGAGGAGTGTGCCAGGTACTTGGCCTCCGTTTTCCTCTATGTACCATGAAGAGCAAATCCTAAAGCTGAGCTGCTCCCTAGCAGGGGTGAGGAAGCCAGACATGTAAGGCAAAAGCAATGGAATTCCAATTCCATCAGACTTTTAGTGTCTCTTTCCATCCAGTAGGCTATTTCCCCCTTTGCTTTCATCCCATTGGCACTAAGACCACATCAGGAGTCCTACTCTTTCCACATCCTCATTTCCCTGCACCCCCTGCTGCCCAGCAGTTTCTCCTGTGTCTGAAGTTGCTGTGTCTTGTCAGGCAGCAACTGGAAGAGATCCGCCTGAAGCAAGAACAGCACGAAAACTCAGGTACCAAAAGACGAAAGGAAAACAAGGACCAGAACCTCGGTGAATCGGCTGGAGAGAAGAGCAGATCCAGAGCAGGGCTGAGGAACCACTTGGCTTACAAGATGCAGAGCCAGGAGAAACAGGTGCTGAAGGTTTTCTAGTTACATTTCTGCTGCAATATGAGCTGGGACTGCTAAAGAAGGAAATTTCTCCTGTCCTCTCCTCCTCTTGTGCATGAGATCAGCTCAGGATTATAAAAGAAAGCTGATCTCTTGGGCAGGAAGTGAATGAACAACAAAAGAAGACTTACAGGAGAGTCTGGGCAGGGTTTGTGGGCTAGTAAGCAGGAGTCTTGCAGCCATCCTTGCTAATGCTTTGGGACACATCCTTGGAGAGGCTGCATTTACCTCTTCTGTGCCTTGCAGCTGCTACCAATACACCCAGATACCATGCAGCCTCAAGAAATTGTGGAAGAGGAAGAGCTAGAGCGGATAAAGGGTCTGCTACGAAGGGGGAATCTCATCCGAAGCCTTGGTATCGTAGAGCAGCTCACCCGCATGCTCAACTTTAGCCACCGGAGCCAGAAATACCCTCATGAGTATTGGGTGAGAGTTCCTATGAAGCATCTCAAACAATAAGGCAACAAGGGTTGTGATACCGGCACATGGTAGTGATCACACCCAAGAGGGCATATGTGGCAGTATCAGCCTGTGGTGCCTGTGAAAACTGAGTGTGCTGGGCCTTGGGAGATCTGTCTGTCCCTTCTACACGTGTTCCCAACTTCTGTTATTTTTGGTAGCGACATCCAGCAAAGTGCAGCTCCCACCTTTCTGCATTACAAGAGTCTTGCTCTCTATTCCTCACAGTGACCCAAGACTCATGACAGAACACAATTACCCTTGGTGGCTTCTGTGTGATTTTCTACCTAGCACTGTCAGTGACCTGGCTCTAATGGGAACAAAGTGAGACAGGGGGGCCGGGGAGATGGCTCAGTGGAATAAGCGCTTCCCTGGCAAGCGCAAGGGCCTGAGTTCAATCCCTGGTTCCGCAAAAAAAAAAAAAAAAAGTGAGACAGGGTCTTGATACACAGTAGTTCAGGCTGGCGTTGAACTCACTTTGTAGCCCAGGCCAGTCTCAAAGTCCCAATGAGATTCTCCTGACTCAGCCTCCTAAGTGCTGGTATTACAAGCATGAACCACACCAAGCTTGTCTTTGTTGACACCCCCCCCCCCGCCTGCCCCAAAGAATTAGCTGGCTAAAAGGTAGCCAAGGAGTAGAAGATATTTTTCAGTTATCTATTTCTTCTAGCACTTCATCCAGCCTCACAAAAAAAAAAAGTGCTAAGGGGATGCTCTTCTCCTGTAGCCTAGATTTCACCGTGACGGGCTGGGAGGTCAAGAAATGCAATCTCTGAGGCTGGTTCCACTGGTGCTCCTGAGAAAGGCTGCCACTGAGCAGGGCCATCATCATTTCCTGCAGCCACTTCGGCCCCACGAATTCATCCCCAGGATCTTAGGGCCACTGTCAAGCATGAATGCCGCAATTCCACATCATTCTCGGTGCCACCTGCAGTCCAAGAACCTCTACTGGACAGGGGAGTCATCAACCATGGGCCCCTGTTCTTTGTCAATGAAGAAATCTGGGACACATTATTTTTCTGGCACTAGAATCAGGCTTGCTGGCCGTAAGTATATAAAATTTGGCTTTGGTCACTTTGATTTACATCAATTCCTAATGGCAAATATGGCAGCTGGGATGATCCCCCAAACATAATGTGGCACTTCTAGTACTGCAGTAGTGGGGAGCTGGTGACCCATTTACCTCCTTCTAAATAATACTAGCCCTTGGTGATAGAAATGGCAGAAATGCAGTCCCAGACCACAACAAAGGTAACAGGAAAATGGCCAAGTAAACAACATCACTGACAAAACAGTGTGGTGAAGATACTGGAGGGAGGGATGTGCGCCATTCCTTCGGGTTGGTAAAGGACCATAATTGAAAGAGGTAAGTCTCTTCCGTGGATACCAACTGGGGCGGGGTGGGGACGGGTGTCCATGTTTCCACCGCAGAAGGCCAAGCCAGCAGGCTGGAAGCCATAAGCCGAGCCCTGGCAGGATCAGTGCCATCCATTTTAACATCAAAGCAGCACTATCTTCTGAATCCGGAAAGAGTGGTAAAGGACTCCTGGACTGAATGCACCTTGCCTTCCACGGTAAACTCTGAATGCAGAGCAGACAAGGCCAAGGCCCGGGATGACGCCCTTTGCGCGGCCTCTGAACCCATGCTGGAGCACCCCTGCACACTCCTGAACGTCAGCCAGCACAGGTAAAAGCAGGTGGGGGCCCAGCACCCACCCTCTCCTGGAGAACCCTCGGGTTTCCAGAGGAGTGAAAGATCTTCAATCTTTGCTAAATGAAAGACTGCCACCAAGTTCCGGTGTGAAATCCCCTGGCCAGGAACCTTGTTTGCAAAAGGCAAAACACAAAGACACTAAAAATTCCTCAACACCTTTCGGGACCGGGAAAGACGAGAAGATGAAGAACAGAGGCCGGCCACGTACTCATCTCCGCGCGGCTAGCCTTGGCCTGGATTTATCGCTAGCAGATGGGTCTGAACCGTGGGTGCTGCTCCAGGGTTGGAGGGCACTACGGCGACAAAGGCCCTTCCTAGTAGAGCCAAGTACCCACGGCAAGGAGAAGTCGCCGTCAGAAGATTCCTAAGAGGTCGCTTCTCCCGCCCCCTTGGCGGAGACACGCAGACCTAGACAGCCCGGGACACAAGGGCGGCTGTTGGCAACTGAATTCGTCTTTTTATTAAAGTTTACGTCGTTTTCCAGGCGCGTCCTATACCTCATTTCCGCTCTCGGGTTTCAGGAACGCCCTCACCAGTTACAGCACCAGATCGCCCCGCCCACCCGGTAGGCGGAAAGACCTCGCGCCTCGAGCTTCCGGTTGGCCCCTTCCGCTTCCGGGGCATCCCTTCCGCTTCCGGTGGGGTCAAGTTTCTGGGTCTCGAAGACTTGTTTGCGTAGCCATGGCAGTTGCGTTGACACTCTCGCTGGCAGGCCGCGTCCGGGCGGTTGTCGCGCGATGTGGGTTCGCCACGCGAGGGTTGGCAGGCCCAGGTCGTAC